CTGCGGATCCTCGGGTTAATGTAAGAGTTAACCCGGTGCTTGCCTTTCCCAGCGAGGTGTCTTCCTGTCCCGGAGCGGCGTGGCTCTCCAGCTCTGGACCCTTTCCGTCCCCCTGTTTGGTGCTTACCCACACGGTGTGCGATCATCCCGCCACCCTCTCCGTGCTCTCCACTACTGCCTTGCCCCAGCGTCCAAAGCGGGGCATTTGGGTTCAAACCCATCGGCAGCTGTCTCCAAGTTGGCTAATCGCGATCTACCTCGACCTCGTGACCGCGGTAACTCCCGACCGCCAAACTCAGGATCCTCTCCTAAACGGTGCTAGGGACCGTATATCCGTCGTTGTTGGGTGGTCTTTCGAGGGTTAACTGCACTTGCGGGCCTCGGCCTCCCCCGGGGAGGGGAGGAGGGGGGGAGGCAGAGATGGTACACGGAGAGCATCAAAACACTAGAAGACCACATAGTCGCCTACGTCATGGAAAACTTCCATTATGTAGGTCAATATTATGACCTGGCTTAGCCGGAGCCACCACACAGCACCAAAAAAGAAATAGANTGCACTTGCGGGCCTCGGCCTCCCCCGGGGAGGGGAGGAGGGGGGGAGGCAGAGATGGTACACGGAGAGCATCAAAACACTAGAAGACCACATAGTCGCCTACGTCATGGAAAACTTCCATTATGTAGGTCAATATTATGACCTGGCTTAGCCGGAGCCACCACACAGCACCAAAAAAGAAATAGAATACATCACCTGGCGCAGAATGCTGTGTAGAACGAAGTCCTCCACCAAATTGAGTAAACTTAGGCTTAAATGAAGAATGAGGTCCATAGCAACACGAAGAAAAAAACAGAAAGGCTTTCCGCGATGGTATCGGCAAGATACGTTTTTTTGAAAAAAGTGGTCCCTAATAGGGGGGTGGTCCTTAATACCCACACGTATTTACTCTAGTCCGCAGCACGTGTGCTTGATTGAGCTTTTTCCGTCGTCCCAGAGGGTCACTCCGCGCCGTTGTTTGTACAGTCCGCCGTTATACATCTGGAGTTTCTTCGAATGAAACGGCGTCCTCGGTACAGCTGGTGCACAGACTGCTGTACAGCCCTCTCCGTGATAACGTTGGTTCCCCTTCGGCTAATTATTGGCTGCTTCGGTTGGTATTCCAGTACACCCGCATCAGCACAGTCTTTGTTTTCTTCTCTGACATGGTCAGCCCAAAGGCTCTAAAAGCTTCTGCGATAATGGCCATCATCATCGTCCCCAACCCTTCCGATGATTTCGCTACGACTCCCGCTTGCCGTTGGCGTGCAAGATTCCCGATACCGCCTGCAGCACTTAAGTGCGTGACCTCGAACCAGTCGATAGTTTCCCCGTCGCCCATGCGTACCCGGGCCTGCACGCCATCTCGTGGAATTGGCGGGTCACGGCCATCTCATCCGGAGCACCGACTCAGTGTCGTCCACGGCAGCTCTCGGTCGACCGAGTCGTACAAGTAGGTCTTCTCTCGACGAAGCACATGAAACACCGGGATCTAGAGACTAGAGTAACCGTCGCCACACGAAAGCCAACCAGGGCACATGTCACGCGCGGAGCGCGGAGCCTGGTTATTGCGCCGCATTAGGCACCACAAACAACACACGGGACACGGGACAACGGTTAAAATATAGTTGGAGTTGACGTGCTTGTGCATGGAGGATGGCCTTGCGGAAGAAGCCTTTGGTGGCCGTCGTTCATTCTGCCTCGTCCAAGAGCACTTCAGCTGGAGAAGATCTGGCAATTTACTTGGGTGTTTGTCTGCAGTTGGGAGGTGAGCGCCGTTGAAGTGGAACAAAGGAGAGCAACTTGTGCGGAGCAATGCTGCTGTACAGCAGTCACAGCAGACATTCGAGACTCAGTACTGCTCGATACATACACCACGTGATGCGCAATGCTGGTTACTGATGCTACGCCTCTGCAATAGAATTGTTGCACACCCCGCATAATGCGCACAACAACTTTTTTCATCTCCGCTTGCGGGATCACCCGACACGTTGCGCACGTAGTCTAGCTATGCGTGGATACAGCTGTTTCGCGCTTTCCCTTTGGCGCCTGTTCCCCGACGAGGAGCACTACATGTAGGTTAGATTAGACACAAGCTGGCCGGGTATGTCGAGGGTTGAGTGTGCCTCTCCGAATCTCCGAGCCCTTGCACGCGTGATTGGGTTGGGGCAAGCTCGATGACTGAGTAGACTTTCGTTCATGTCATACCGTACCAGGCACGTGAACATTGTTTGCGGGTGCGGCTCGTCCACTTTTTGCCTTGCTTGTTTCATGGTCCTCCTCTCATCCACTCGACGGGGCCAATCGTTCGCCGTTTGGGGGCAGGCTGTTGCTACTGTTGTAGACTACGCGTTCAAGAACCGAACCGGCCACGTGCGCACCCTCCATCTTTACAACGACACCCACACGCGCAGGATACTCCGACGTGCGCATCGTCGGCTTTGACGGCGCCAAACGAACACCCAGAAGCTCGAACAAGGCGGATGGTGGTGCGGACGATGTCGGTGGTGTCCCACCGCGGCAGCGGCAGCAGCGAAAACAGAGCGGAAGGTTTTTGGTGGTGCCTTACGCCGGCGACAAGCCCAAGTATCCCAACGTAAGGTCACGACTGCTGTGTAAGAGGTTGGGAGGGTGGGGGGGGGAGACAGAGTTGTATAGCGTTGGGGACAATATCGCCAGACGCAGCTATGTCGCACACACTTGGACGGCTGGTTGGCAATCGGTCATACGATGCCAGTACAGCAGGTCAGCATAATGGCTGATCAATGTGATAGCGACCATGATTGCCGTGGGAGTTGACGCATGACTCCAAAAGTAACCGTTCCCACGATGTATGTATTTTGTCGTGGTGGTACGTTCAGGCCCAACCGAAACGGCCATGTGGATTGTGGTCGGCGTTTTCGGTGTCCCGTACGTCGTGTCTCGGTACTTGCAGCTTCATCTTTTGTGAGTTGGGTGGTATTGAGTACACACCACGTTGGATTGTGAGGGGAGCGTTTCGACCCCGTGGGTGAGAGCGTTGAGTCTCTTGTCTTGTTGCAGCATGACGACGACGAGCTTTAGCCGCCGAAGCCATAGAGGGTGCGACCCTACCTCGCTCAAGATACCCGTAATGAAATACCAACACACGCCACCAACCGAATATCTACGTGCCATATACTGTTTCTCTTACCTCCCGTCCGTGTATGTTTGCTAAAAACACACACAACAACAACACACCAACAAACAGCATGCAGAGTGCTTTCGGGACACTTGGGAGTCGCTGTCGAAGTGCAACGTGATCCTCATCTGCGTGGACCCCGCGGACACCTCGGCGTGCGCCCTGGCCCTGTCGTCGGCAGTTGAGAGGGGCAGCGACAAGGCCATCATCAGCTTCGACCTCGGAATCAAGAACCACATGGCGGTCGAGGAGCAGTGAGTCACCATAGAGTTGCCGAAACTCGACAAGGGGTTGGCTTGTTAGGGGTTGGACCGTTCCCGATGTCGTGCGTGGCCGTGCTGTTTAGGCCTTCCACCATCGACGGGGAGATCTCGTAGCATTTTTCCTGCCCCCCGTGACGTCAATGTTCGACAAATATCCTTGTAGGACTCCATTTACCAGATAGCAAAGGGAAGTGTTACACTTGCCGTGTCGTGCTTGCATCGTTTGGTCCTAAACTCCTCAATGCTCCGCGTTGGGCTTCCCGGCAGTTGTGCGAAGAAGAACGCGTCGTTTGAGGTTTTCGTTCTGACGGTGCCTTGGCTTGTCTGCGCAGGCTCCTATGTTGACGCGTGGCTCCCGTTGGAGACGTGATCAATACACCGATGACAATCCACAGCAGCAGCGGCAACCCTTGCCATGAGCAAACGTGATGTAAGTAGCGACACCCAGCCTCTTTCCCCGCCCCCGCCCACCGCCGTTCACGCGCACAGCTTGGGCAACCACAACCTCGTCTTCTTGGGGGGGGCAGTAGGGATCAGCGTAGCAAGGAGCCCCGTAGATGGCCACCTGCGATGCTTGGGTGGGGGTTCTCTGGTGCTAGAGCGGCTGTCCAAACAGCAGTCAAAGCGCGGAGTGAAGTTCGTCAACCTCTTGCGAAGCGGCGGGATCCCCGTGCTGCACTGCAAGAACGTCAGATGTGAGTGTCGTTGTTGTTGTGCTGTTGTCGTCGTCGGCCCTGTTGCTCGGGTCGTTGCCACTGTTGTCTCAGCCTGGTGCCACCGGACATGCGAGAGAGATGCAGTTGTCTTTCTTCGTCGGCAGGAATTTCGCCCTCTTGCATTTAGCGCCCGTGTCCACCAGCTTGCCGCTGTACAACACACGTTGAGGTCACACTTGCTCTCTTCCATTCCGAAAGGCTACCATATTGCGGCTATCTGGAGTTGATGTGCTTTGGTTGACCTGCCGCCGTAGGTGTTCACGTCTACTGCTGTGGTACGTTACAGTACGTGGCATTTCCCTATACGCACAGCAAGAACACTGGATTCGTCGCTACACCAAATCATGTCGCATTCCTTCCCCCCCCCCAGCCACGACAATGACGAAAGCCGTCCGTCGCCCTTGACTGCTAACCATCTACGACAGCCTACACGCACGGTGTTGTCATCTTCAACACCGTGCATGCTCCCGCGGCCCTGGCAGGGGGGTCGCTGCGAGACCTTGTGCGGGATCGACACGCCCGGCTGCTGTGGGCAGCCATGATCCGTGAGGGCTTGCAGGTACGATTGTCTTTGTTTTCACAAAGAAAGAAAGTGAGAGAGAGAGAGAGAGAGAGAGAGAGACGGCTGTCAGATGTGAAACGTGGCATGGAATCGGAACCCACGAATACGTGTAGCGCGGGAATCCCCCCCCCCTCGAATCAATCTTGCTTCGGCGTGATGGGTGGATGGCGTGTGGTCCGATCGGTAGAAGAAGCGCACAGTGGGGACGAGTGCGTTCGTGAGGTTCCTGTCACGCAAGGAGGGCATTGGGGTCTCGGCGGTTGCGTAGGTATCACGTAGTACCTTACCGAGGTGTGTTCGCGCCCGAAGTATAGCCTTTTTTTGTTTTTCTTTACCGCTGACTTGAGAACTGGCACAACGGTCGATGGTGATTTGTGCCTCTGGTTGCCCTCAGGCGCTGACGCTGGCGGCGAGAGGAGGCGATTGGAGGGCCGCGAACCCTTGCTGTGGCGTCACCCTGCCGCAGCTCGAGTTGTTCCTCTGTCTGCCGACGTTCTTGTTCAGCCTCGTGAGGTGAGTGAGCAAGCTCCTCGTCAGGAGCGTGTCGAGGTTCAAACAGCAATAACAACCTTGACAAGTGCCGTTTTAGATTTTGGGATTCATGTACACCAGTACTGTAGCGGCTATGGTTTATTGGAGATTTTTGAGAGAAAGCCCTCTTTCAGAAGTGGCATGTTGTTGGCTTTTCCCGACCCTCTCTTTAACCGTAGTCACTACCGTACCGCTCTTGCCAGCATTGTCTGCAGTTCCCGGTTTACGAGGTGCGTGCTACACTACCATTACTCGCGTTTGTTCTGGACTGGGGTGTAGTTTACATGACAAACAGCGGAGCGAGTAGTTCCGTTGTTTGTCGATTTTGGACGATTCCATCGGATGTCGATGGATGTCCTGTGGCCCTTAGCTGCTCTGCCGGTGACGGCACGTTGTTCATCTCAAGAGTCGTCTCATCGATCACTGTAAGATGGACGCTTCGACGTTGCATTACTCACCTCGAGACTTTGGTGAGTCTAATGTTGCGTGTTCTTACTCACACGTACTCAATGTCACCCATAAACTAGCTCGTGGCCACAAGCTAAAGATGCGTGTGCGTGTGAAGGTGGCTCATGCCGTGTCTTGCCAGGGATTCAACACGCAGCTGTGGTCAATCGCTGTCGGCCCATAGAACACCGTCAACGGGTTGTCATCTCCCGTCAACTCTCTCCCCGCCGCCGCCGCCGCCGCATTTCCTCTCCACTCCAATGCTGACCAATGTTGCAATTGTTCTCCCGGCTGTGTCGTTGCGTGGAGACAGTGGGCTGCTTCTCCGGTTCCCGCCGATGCTCGCACCCGCGATGCAGGCAGACTTGGCGGACGGGCGGGATACGAGCGTGGCGTGGACACTGGAAGAGATCGTCCGCATAGGTTTGTTCGCGTTTCTCTCCTTTTGAATCAGCTGTGGCCGATCAAAAGATGACAAAGGTGTCAGCGAGCGAAAGCCTAGGTTCCCCGAATGCGGCCAAAATTTCAAGAGTGGTCAAAATCTGTGTGTGAGTGAGTGTGTGTGTGTGTGTTTGCTTGCTAAAGTCAATCGCGCTGGTCGACTGATGAATCAAAACAATACCAGTTTCGGACTGTGTGGGCATCGACTCCGCTTTTGTTCAGCGAGGTATATACCATCGATGTACCGCTCAGTTCTTGGTGGTCGTTTGTTGCCATCGGCCGAGCACAAGCAATCAGCTTTCACGTATGTAATAGTCTACAAGCAAACATCCTTTCACGTTTGCTTTCCCCTCTCACGTCTCGCCAATCGACTCCTTTGCTCTTCTCGCTTGCAACCACGTGCACCCATTTTTCGTCACATTTTTCCTTTTGAACCAATGATGCACTGCTGTAACCACGCAGCGGACAAGCACAAGGGGTCTGCCCCGGCTTGTGGTGCCGTTTTGTCGGCCGTGAAAAAATGTGTCTCAGAGGGCGACGGGGTTCCCAGCACCCGGCCGCGGGATCTACCTTTCGTGAGTGAGTTGCTCTCAGGGGGCTCTGACAGCTCGCGAGCGTTAAATCGAAAGGTGCGTGTTGTGGATTCACGGCTGTTTTGTGAGTTCTTGGTGGGGCATTCACTATTGGTACCAGTTTGTTCAAGCTCCTGATTCCTGTCGTCGAGGGAGACGTCGTTTGTGTAGGATCAATCGGTGTTTTATTCCTGCTTTCCTGGACCTTTGTCCATTATTGCATTTTCACTCTCCGCCTTTCTGTTCTCCGGGCTACACCCGTTTCGTGCCATTACCTCCTCGTTCACATATCGAAGCTCACCGCCCTCTCTCTCTCTCTCTCTCTCTCTCTCTCNCTCTCTCTCTCTCTCTCTCTCTCTCTCTCTCTCTCTCTCTCTCTCTCTCTCTCTGTTCACACACACACACACACACACACACACACACACACACCCTGGTCGCCATTCCGGTGTACGATAGCTGGCGCTGTGGTGCGGCTGTGCGGCTTTGGGGACAACGGCGCTCGGGCTGATGGGTGGGGCCTGGCTCGCCGCGGGGGGCGTCATGTTTGCCATATTTTTAACCTTCGTCAAGTTCGCTGTACTGGGTGATGTGGTGCCATGATGTGGAGAGCTTCACACGTTTACGGGCGGTGCGACGGTGGGGCACTTCGGCGCGCTCGCAGGCTGTGATGTTTTTGTTTGTTTTGTGCCGAGTTGTGTTGGGGGATATTTTTTTGCCGTATCCAAACACCGATCAGTGCACGGCTGCGAGATACATGCTCTTCATTGCTTCAACGAGCAAAAGAAGTTTTGCTACAGAGATCCAAAATAGTAAAATCGAAGTCCGTGGCACAAGTGGTTGGTGCTCTTCACTACTTGCTTCACGGAGCAAGATTCGTTTCCGACATGGGTCGTCGTGTCGAATGTCGAGACACACGCAAAAAAAAGGCCCAGCCGATGTTAGTGTGCTTTGTTCTCCGTAGACGTGCGTTTCTTCAAGAACCGGCATGGTGTGTGGCGGTAACAAGATGGTCCCTCTGTGTGTGTGGTCAAAGGAGCGCTTCATGCGACGTCGGTATTAGTGAAGGGGGTTCCCGTATCGACAATGCGGGACGACGAAAGTGTCGTCTCCCGTGTTGCGTGGGAATTACACGCAAGGTAGAGGCGCTCCCTCAAACCGAACACCCACTCGGACAGGATGTCGCCCGTGCCCCTCGTGTCACTATCGTAGCAGATAGGAGAGGCTAAGACCATTGCCCTCCATTTTTTTTGTGAGATGAACACGGCCGGCGGTGGGCCGACTGCCATGTACTGCTTTAGCTTTGCGTCAAACGACGCACGGCACCAGTGGTTCGTAGACGCGGCCCGGTCCTGTCGCACGATAGCCTGGGTGTTACGAGGCACAGCTAGTCGTCGTCATTGGCGGATATCCTTCTACCGCTTTTGGTTTCGAGCCATTCAGCTCCCCACCCACCCCTGTACACCGCAGGAAAAGGAAACAAGGGAAACGCGATACCTCACACACCTCAGTGCCGCAAAAAGGTTTCTCTTGGCGCGACGCGTATCGACGAAAAGCCAGCAGTTATCCGAACCACGTGGCTTGGATTTCTAAATAGTTTGTTCCGAGGAACGTTCCCCCGCAACGCCCGCTATTTCGCGAACGTCTCATCGTTCATCATCTCGCCGGAAGGAAATAAACAAAAAACCAACCAACAAAACTCCTGCGTGACATTCCTCCCGTCTGACACGTGAGGCAAAAACGCCGAGAGGTGTGTAGACTCAACCCAGAATACATGGAGCACACTCACACGCACACAAACTTGTACTTGTTCGACTATCGACCACGGCGCACCACCCTCACACCACGAATCTGCAATAATCTAAGTGTTGCACCTAATTTCGCCCACACGGTCGTCAATACATTGCCCTTTAAGAAATCTAAAGCCGATTTTTGGTCTTTCTCATGATTCCAGCGCCGATGGCAAGAACCGGGTCACACTCTACTCTAGATTAGATCTAGATCTGATTTTGCCCCTGTTCGAAGAACCTGGCGTTCGTCTGTACAAACAGACAGACGACCCGATTTTCTTGAAACAAAGCTACAAACAACAATACACCAGCAAATCCCAAAACGCCCGTGTCGACCTCTAAAAACTGGCTGGGTGCTCTGCTTGGCTATTCTATGCTGCTGTCCGGGTTTGGAGAACCGGGTTTGTACAAATAGAAAGCTCGTTTTTTTTCTTCTTTTGCAACAAAAATGATGAAAAAAAACTACACAAGCAAATCCCAAACTCGTTGTTTTAAAGAAACTGGCTGTGGGTGTCCTTCTACCGTGGCTTTGCTACCGCTGCTGTTGCGGTCCTACACGAAAAAAACAAAATCCGAGGTCAAGAGACACACACATAAACTCCACCTCTAAACCAACTCTGAACCGTGTCGTCTCCATCAAGACTATGAATATGTACATGCAGTGCGACACACACTGTGGCCATAACTCACACGGTGCTCAGTTGATACTTACTAGCTCGGCCCTCCATCCTACCGCCCCCCCGGCGTTTCCGGGTCGTTACCTACGACAATAGCAGGCGGTGGGGGTTCCCACCTACTCGCCCGGCCCCCCGCTGCGCCTACCCCTCCGCCGGGGGGTGGACCCGCCGCCGGCGTGCTTATATATGCCGCGGTGGTAGCGTCAGCGGGCGATACGACGCCGTCGCCAGCTCTGCCGCTACGACTGCCACCACCGCTGCCGTTGAGGCGTCGCGCCTGTCTCGCGGTCGCACGCGCGGATCTCCACCTCGAAATCGACCAAGATTGTTCTTCTTCTTCTTGGCCCTCTCGACCCCCTCCCTCGCGCCTGCTGGCGCTGGCGGTGGTTGTGCTGGTGCTGCCGTACGTGACAGGGTCGGAGTCTGGGTTGGGTTGGCCGCCAGCAAACGCCAAGGCCGTGGCCCAGTTGTCCTCAGCCAACTTGGCCACCGGGATGTCGGAGTCGCGCTGCTGCACGAGTGCTCCGTCTTGTTCCAAAGTAGAGCGCGCGCGGGGGAAGGGGGTGCAGAATGCAAGCATCAAGCAGAAACCTTCCTCGCGCTCAAAGGCCATGGTGTCATCGTCTCCGAACCAAACCCAAAAAGCCTTTGTGAGTTTGCCGTTCTTGCAACAAGGCTAGAAATCGCCCTTCTTACGTGTCACTGCAGCTGTTGTACCGGAGTGTGAGGGGAGGGCGAGGGCGTGAGGTCATGAGGCCCCACGCGAAAACGCGGCATCGTTTACCGGCAACTCTGGAGCGGGTACGAAAGGAACAGACCGGGACAACAGGCTGTTCCCCAATGAACGTACGCGCTGCATCACTCGAGTTTTGCATGTCGGACTTGTCTCTGACTTACTTGCAGGTACACAACAGCTCTCAGAGGAACACGTGCGCCATCAAGCCCAAGAGCAAGGCCGTCGAACGTACAACAACAGGTGGCAGCCTGGCAGGCCCCTCTCTCACATATCGAGTCGTTCGGGATCTCCTCCAACAATCCGACGTGCTCAAGCAGGTTATCATCGCCAACATCAGCGCCGTCCAAGCCTTCCGCGCGCCAGATCGACGCCCTTCCTCTGACAGCGTCCGATAGATCTGTCACCGTTGCTCGAAGCTTGAGGGAGAGAGCGGCAGGGTAGACGTTTGCATAGTACGCGATAGTACCAACGTATTGCCGGGGGTGGGGGTGGGAGGTAAACATGGCGGCTTCGGATGGGGAGGGGGGACGAGAGCATCGAAAGACGATCCGCGAATACGATTCCACGAAAACTCCGCGGAAAATACCATGCATGCTGTACTCACGCGGCGAGGGGTGGGATCGTGCGTAGCAGAATCCCTGCCCCCCCCCCCCCACCCAGCCCCGCTTCCTATCCGAGAAAGCACTTCATGCACTTACCACGGGCATCCCCTGCGGGATCGACCACGCTCTCGCCAGAGAAATCCCTTTGCGCTTTCGTCGTTTCTCTGCCAAGGCGAGGATGCCTGAGCAGGTCGCGAACACCGCCGACACGGAAAGCGTGGCGAGGACCGCGCCCCAGGACCACTCCAGGTCGCACTCCGCGTTGGGGGTTCCGCAGCAGTAGGCGCACTTGGTGCTGCTGCTGCGGGAGGGGATGCACGATACGCACGCCCGCGTTTGCGGGGACTCCACGTGCATACAGTAGTATCTCTTCGCGCGTCATATACGACACAGACGAAGAAACACACAGGGGGGAGCGGGAGGTGAGCGAGGGGCAAGCAACAAGACTTGTCCCGATCGTGGCAATGCATCTCGCCCTCTTGTTGGGACGAAAAATTAACGGGGCGCACACGAGACAATTCCATTTCGGGTGCCACCCGCGGGGTGCAGAAGGTAGAGTTACTTTGGCACGATGCACTTGTGTATTCCTTGTGCAAGACAGGCGGTGATTCGGCGACACACTCGAACAGGATTAAGAGGCTGGCCGAATCAACCCAACTACCAACCGAACGTGTGCACAGGCAGGGTTTCCGCCTGTGAACGGTAAGGACTGAGAATGTTTGCTACATAAGCATCGTGGTCTGAGTATGTCTGCTCCATGCTGATATCAAGGACACAGGTGACCGGGCTATGTCTGCCCGAGGTAATGTGAAGAAAATAGGTGGCCGGGGTATGTTTGATCCTAGGTGACCTGGAAGACACAGATAAGTGATATGAGTATGTTTGCTCCCTAGTGATCGGAAGGACATAGGTGATCTGAGTACATTTGCTCCATGCTGATGAATATTGGCTCCATGCTGATCTGAAGCACATACGTGATCGGGGTGCGTCTACTCGAGGTGATGTGAAGGACACAGACAGGTGATCTGAGTATAGTCTATTTTTTCTCCATGCTGACCTGAAGGACATCGGTGATCTGAGGATGCTTGCTCCATGCCGATCTGAAGGCATGCTCGATGCTGGTCTGTAAGGCATAGGCGAGCTAGCTCATGACCTGTCTGTCCTTCGTGTGAAAGGGCGCTTTTTAAAACTTCGTACTTAGTAGGACTCACGAGGACACATCCAAGGCATCAGAAGCACCGAGCCTTACAAGCGTTCCGAGAACCACTGGGGAGGCCACTTGGTGCTTGGTGAAAAAACGGGCCTCCGATATGCCGCTCGCTGGCATGAGCGGGCGGATCACTTGCGGCACAGCTCCCAGTCACCGACCCGCAGTGCTTGCCACAGTGGTAATAGTTGACTTTGTCAAAAGCAACGGTAAAATTTGGAGGTCCGGATGCGATCAATGAAAGACGCTGATATACACGGTACATCAGCTGCTGTGTCGATGGTGAGGTCAGACACAGGTTACTAACTCTGGCAGGAATTCGCACTCTCTTGGAGGACGAATTTAACGCATTAGGGGGTTGTGGATACGTACGTGCGAAGTGCTGACGCATTAAATGCCGCGTAGATGGGTCCACTACTAGATGCACACAAAACAGAGGCACATACTTACGTGTTTCGATTAAATGGCATGCTAGTAAGCACAATTTCAGCTTGCGGGGCTAACCTGGGAACCGGCACACGAGTGCTTTTGTTTTTCCTATCCCCTGCTTTGCCCCTTGGCCGACTATCCAACGATGCCAGGATAGAATCTGCTACCGGGGTCTCAGGATTACTGCTAGAAGCTCGTCGGACTTCAATCCACCTCCTTGAGCCTGAGGAAAAAATGATTCCCTCGATTTTCTACATACCGTGATGCACACACGGGGCTGACTTCACTCGGGCATCCTGTGCTACCTGGGTTTCCTCAGCTAATGGTGTACTTGGTCTGTCTGTCTGTCTCCCTGCGGGCGAACGGTCCCGTGAGGGACCCCGTCAACCCTTGATAATAGGATTACGAACCCACCCCTTGCTCTTGTGCTTCTTCTTTTTGGCGATGGAATGGCGGTATTTGCAGCCCGGATAAGGGGCATGGTTCTTCCTTCTGCTCCGCAGCAGAGGCAGGTAGAACCGCCCTTATCGGAGTGCAAGCCTTCTTCGCGACTCCTTGCTGTACCGCACGGTTACCGGGCTGCCACATCGACTTCAAGTCCGATATTTGCGCTGTTTTTTTTTTTGTCGCAGTGTTAGAAGATACCTTAAATACCGTGTTTTGCAAATCAACAACTTGCAAAACATGGTTTCTTCCAACACTGCGGTCATCAAAAACCTTGAAGCGGAAATATCGAAGCTGAAGTCGATACGGCGGCCCGGTAACCGTGCGGCACAGCAAGGAGTCACGAAGAAGGCGCGCACCTCCGACAAGGGTGGGTCCACCTCTGCTCCTGAGCGGAAGGAGTCACCATGCCGCCTATCCGGGCTGCAAGTACCTCCATCCCATCTCCAAACGCGTTCTCAAGAAGAAGCACGAGAGCAAGGGGTGGGTTCTCTTCGTCGACGTCAATGAGGACACAGGTTCCTGTCAGAGCCAGAGGCCGGTGCCGTTGCAGTAATTAGTATGCATTCACCCACTGCCAGGGGTGGCTTGTTTCGTTCCGTGAGATGAAAACGAGGAGAGAAGTAGCGACCAGAGGGCAGAAGGAGGAGAGTCGAAGGCTCTTCCGCGTCTACCCTTGGCAAGCGGCCAAAGTCTGCGGAAGAGACAGATCTCAACGGTGCATTTCCTTGTCAGTAGTACTAACAACTTGGTCGAGTGTAAATGGCCTCCATGTCGGAATACCAGTTCTCGGAACATTCCTTGGGTACGCCGAAGGCCCGGGTGCGGCTTTCCGCAATCGAAATTTTTTGGGTGAAGAAAGAAGGCGGCCGAAGGCGAAATTTTTTTTTGGGCCCTTGTTTTGGCTGTCAGGCGAGTGTTCCAGTGGTAAATTCCTACTGACACCCGCCCCAAGACTGTCAAACGACAAAAAACAATGAAGTACACGTGTTGCTCACAATTTTGGAGTGTTTTTCTCCCGACATCAGACTGAATATCCCAAATTAGGCCCTAGCGAAAACGCTGCGCTGTCCACTCAATTATATTCAATGGTTCTCCCCGAAAAAAAAAACGAACCAAAGAACTGATACTCATGAAAAGAGATGGCCAGAAAAAGTACGTCCACACGTGGACTCGAACTCGTGACTCACACGGGTTGTACAGCAGTAGAGGCTAGACCTTTACTCGCTAAGCAAATCGTTCGGCGGTGACGTATCTACTGGCGGTTTTTGTTTTAGCGGTAGGCGATAACGCGTTTGTCGGCGGTAACTCTTGGGCGGAGGCGGTAAAACCAACAAACGGCGGTAAAACGGCGGATTACCGAGACCGCCCACCACGGCGGAAATTTAACGGCCGATAACTACCGAATAAACCCATGGAAAATACGGAGGTGCAATGTAAACGCCGGTGGATTGCCCACGGTACACGGTAGCCCCGGTGGTCTAGTGGGTAGCCTCGCAGCCTGCTAAGGGCCAGGTCATGGGTTCTAGTTCCGACAGAGTGAGTTTTTTCTCGCTAAATAAATCCTGGTCTCCGTTGGAAGCGACGCGCTGCAAAGCTCGTTGTTAGTAAACTTAATAGACTTCATAAGTCGCGAGGGAAGGGATTGCTGTACCCTTCACACGATAAAAATATCTCAGACAAGAACCGCAGGAGGGGGTCCAACCCCCCCCTCCTGTGTGACCCCGGTTGGGTCGTCTAGCTGGTAGAAGTGGAGGATAGGGGCCAGTGGGGCAGACGACAGAATCCAATGATGGGAGACGAAAAAAAAAAAAAACTAGCCTAAATGTAGGTAATTGGATGAAACTATTCAGTTTAAACAGCGGTGCAGCAGTGCGCCCCCGCTTGTATATCATTGATAATTTATGCTCTACTCGGAGGCGGTCCGAGACAACCTAACGGCAGCGATGCAACTACCGCAGCAGTGGTCAATGCTTCAGCGGTTTGTTCGTTGGTCGCTCGTCATTTTTGTTTTGCTGATCCACGTGTGCACTGCTGTGTACGCTCCATATGATGTATGCTGAGGGGGTCCGTGAAAATAACATCCGGGTGCAACCTATATTGGTGCTGCCCGAACACAGGTCATTACAGCAACCTCTGAGATTTGGACGAGCTCTAACATGTACCTGCGAGCGCAACTTCAAGGATGCCACGCACTTCGAGCAGTAGTAACGCGTAACGGATAGCTATTCCTCAGATTGCATACCTCTCCTAGGTAGTCCACCCCGGATTCGACGCATTCGATCTCAGCATCCGGCCCGGAACAGCAATTCTGGGCTAAACCTCCGCCGAGCAGTACACAGCTGACGACTACCGCCAGCACCACCCTGGCGATCTGGGGCGTACCAACGCGGGCTTTATGTTGGCGGCGGAGGCGGCGGCGGAGGCGGTGGGCGCCTTGATCAACGTCCTCCGAGCTACGCAACGAGGAAGCTACTTGCCCAATACGAAAAAGCTTGCACCTCATATCTAAAGGCTTGTACCTCGGCTCGGTGACGAACCCGGCTCGTCTTCCCCTCTATCTGTCCCGTGCCTTCGGTGCTGAGGCAGCGCCGTTCGCTCGTGAGGATGTAAGACGTGTAGATCTATTAAGAACTGGGAGTGTGGGGGCGTCGACGCTGGGACTGGTGACATGCGCCGGAACCAAAACAAGCTTCACGGTTTACGGTTCTCCTCAGTTCCGCCGCATTTGGTTCTTCAGCTGGTCTTCAGCTAGGCCTGTCCTCCATCGGCCGTTTTTTTTTCCTTTTTCGGCCGCTTTTTTGTTCTCTTTCGGCCGCTTTTTTTCCCTTTTCGGCCGCTTTTTTTCCTTTTTCGGCCGCTCCAATTTTTTTTCGGCCACCCCAATTTTTTTTTCGGCCACCCCAATGTGTGCCCGTACTAGCCCGTACAGGTACCCTTTTAACACCCTCTCGTGCATCCTATGCTTGTTGCGCAAGATGGATCGGGGCTCGTCCATTTATCTGTGTTCTTTGGAAGTAAATAACTCTGTGTCTAGTCGCAGTAATGCACCGCTGTTGCTTATCTCCTCCTCCTCTTCCTACTCCTCATCGCTGTACTCTACGAGCATGTTCTTCTGTGTGCTGGATCCCCTCATGTGTGTGTGTGCGTGCCACGTGCTACCGTGTGCGGACTGCGTGCTGCGAGCTGCGAGCTATGGGCGAGCTGGAAGCTGGAAGTTTTTTGTGTTTTTTTTTTTTTCCAAGTGCTGAGACGCGGATACCACCGCGCAAGTGAAAAAATGTTCGAAAAGGGTAGGTAGGTACGTTGGACTCCCCACAACATTTAATTTATGGGGGGGGGAGGGAGGTGGCCCGTTGAAATCGGACATTGGCCGTGGCCGATTTGGAATCGGCCGTAGCCGACTAGGAATCGGCCGTAGCCGAGTGACATTCGGCTATCCCCTGGCCAAAATCGGCTGCTTTGTTTGCAAAATCGGCCACTTTGTTTACAAAATCGGCCGTTTTTTTTTGCCGCCGTTTTCCGGCCGAAATTTTCAGAAATCGGCTCTTTCGGCCGCGGCCGATGGAGGACAGGCCTATCTTCAGCTCTTCAGCCTTAGCCATGTACATGTGCCAAGTGCCATGTGCGATCGCGCCATTGATCGTGGGATCAATGATGACTCGAAATCGCGGCTAGAACGAAGCTTCAGGCGAGTTCCCGTAAAATATGCGAATCACATCGACAGCCGGGAAACAAAATAGAAAATAGACTACCGTCATTGACACAAGATAACACACCCCCTGGACCGACTTCAAAACTTGATTTCTCAGCAACAGAAAGAGTCGCAGCGCCTTAAACGGTAGCGTTGAAGTTGACTTGTCGAGATCATTCCGAAAATGTATAAAATTCATTTCTGCATCCAATTCATTTCTGCATCCTCTTCGTCGTGGGGTAATCGAGCTTTGAAAATTGGTCCAGGGGGTATGTTATCTCGTGTCATATACTGCAGAGTACACAGCTGTTGTGCTGCTGACTACAGCAGTACATATATTTTGTTTTGTTCTTCTCCTACTAAAAAATACTCAAATAGTCTGTTGTCGTATGACCCAACGAGTTCATCTCTAAGATGAGCGCACATTTTTGGATTCTCGCTCCGTTCAAGTACATTTTTGGTCTGTTGGCCGTTGGGCATCATTCTTATATGGCGTGGAGAGTAGTGCAATACCTCAACACATCCATTCCATCTTTAGAGTGATACAAGCGTTCGCTTATTAATTACTGAATGGGCTGCTGTCGGCTGTCGCGAGCACGGTCTCGCGCAAGATATGTACAGCATCAGTAGTGTTGCGAGGAAGCTCAAGGGCGAACCGAGGTCGACCATATTCTTCTCACCCTCTCATCAAAATAATACGTACTCAATTTATTGGCTGGAATTTGAAGTATCGAGCTTTCGTGAGGGGTAGCGTTAGAAGCTCACGAGGTTACACAGCATACTGCTGTAGTTCCCAGAAAAAAGGACCGTCTACCCTATGTACATACCTCCAACAGTTTCGTCGTGCTCGAATCCACGATGATACCAACAGTTGGCTTTGCGCGAGGCAGAGAAAAACCAAATGTGTTGGATACTCGTTAGACTTAGGCCATTCGACATGTCCTATGTCAGAAACAAACCACGCGCGAAGTCTTCACCATAGAAGGCGTGGTGCTGGTTCGACATAAACAAGAAGCCCGCGATGGTGTCATCATCCTACAACTTGTGGGCTTGATCCTACAACTCGTCGTGTGCTTGATGATGGGTCCAAACGCAACAACTGCGTCCGTATTCGCCGCAAGCAGACCACCAAAAACGAAACAATACACAGCGAATAAACACAAACGATTACACACCGAGCTACTGCCCTCCACATAACCTACATGCCGAGACGGCAAGCGCTTTTTCCGAAACCTTCGACTGTATGCGTGTGTGGCTCGCCACAACTGTAAGCCCAGTACACATATACACATGCCGCTCTTAACCTCCGCTAATATCTCATCAGGCGGGAGCTGACAACACAGACAGCATCGCCGAGAGCTTATCGTCAGCTTGGGTGCTCATTTCACCCGTAGGGCCGACCATGCCGATCATGCCCAGAGCGTAGTTGACATCGACGTCCGCATCCTTAATTGCTGTAAGCGCACGGAAGCAGTCCAAACCAATGCCGGCGTGCGCCTTCATGAAGGACGTGAGCACGGGCGTGATGTCGTTAATGCCTCCGAACTCTGCCGCCGTCTTAAAGGAGACGGAGACGTCGGCGCTGTCGTCGACCTCAAGGGTGCCAACGTTCAACTGCGCGGGTTTGCAGGTAGTATCGGTTTCACAAGTCAGTTGGGGTGATGATTCGGATTGTGAGTGTTGCCTGGAGCACGACTCTGTGTTGTGGTCTCGAACTCCTGGCGCAATGAGCCAAAATCATTCAGCAATACTTTGTAGCGTCGAGATAAAGCGTGGCTGCAGCAAAAAGAGGCCGAAAATTAACTCACCCTGTGATTGGCCTGCGTGACGAATTGTCGGACGGCATGAATTTGCCGAGTAGGCATGGACCATTGCGGTTTCGAATATATTATCACCTGTCATCGAGGGTCGGGATGCATCTCGTGTCAAATACTGCTGATATACAGGGGTTTGCTCTGGTTCTGGGCTAGATACTGTTGTCGTCCCGTCATCCTAAAAAAGCAAACGATTACTATTACTAGGGTAAGCACCGGAAGGCAACAGGAAACGGCCCATTCAGACGCCAAATAAGTCGTCACCCCTGCGTCCATACCAGTTGGCACTGTTGGGTACGAACCTCGCGGCGTAGGTTTTGGTGGGTAATTCCAAGCCGCTAAATTAAGACATATCCTCCTATGCCAAAATCTTGGATGCACACGGAAGTACTCCCATCATCAAGCTACCATACCCTCGAGCTACCACTCTAGCCGCTTCACGGACCATGTCGTAGCCAACTGAGGCTAGACCAAAACAAGCTACTATGCTCTGTATGCTACGCACACAGCATGCAGTGCCCAGTTAGAAAACAAAACAACTTGCCCCCTGCGACCAGTACAGGGGGTGCAACGCGATGCCAGTCTTTGCTTCATACAGCTTTCGTTCGAAGATCTGTCAAGGTGTGTTGTTGGATATCGAAATACAGAAGATGAGCAATCCTCAATTACTCGTCATACCTGACGAAGTGGCTGCTTGATATGAAATGTGAACTTGAACTGGACCGGGTTGTACGAACGCGTGCCGACGGCAGCCGTGTTGACCATCGTTTTGAACGACATGCTGCTTGCTCCATCAGGGCGGTCTTCAAACACGGATTCCACGGAACCCTGCTTCCAAAGTCGGCAACGATCCCAACACGCTGGATGAGCGACGTCACGTCACAATTGTGGGCTGGGGTATCTGTAGACTGTAATGGCATATATAGTGTGCTCACGAAATATCGCGCACACCCACCCACCCTCGAGGGCATTCATCTGGGTAGGAACGTGATGGGAAAGAATGATTTTTTACGAACTTCGGGGTCGATACAGGTATCGACACACATTGTCACCCATTTTGCCTCTCTGCCCGTAGGTACAAGGGTTAGGGTCATGTCACGAGGTCAAACGCACAGACAGCAAGATGAAAAAGATTAAGCGGACATTTCCCCCGAACCAGAGTGGGTAAACACTGGTACTGTCGCGATGTACGTATAAGTTGGCTTCCGGTAGCATTGCCTAATAGGGCTTTCATCAGGTAAAATGTGGTGTGCGACAGAGGCCGCGATTCGTTGTGTCACTCAGTCCTTTTTCTCAAGTCTGACCAACGGAAGAGAGAGAGGACAAATTGGCGTTTGCGCTTTCCTGACCTCCGTGTTCTCACGCAGGTACGGGCAACGAGCTGCTGTGTCCTGTACGTGGTCATAGTTGTGTGGGGAGGCTTTCTTCTCTTCTGAAGTTATGCTTCCCGTTTTCGGATGTGTGTTCCTGCGGCCGCGAGCATGAGAAGTACGTACCTACAGCAGTATACGCATCCGTCGATAAAAGAAAAATCTGGTTCCATTGTTCCCGCTATACGCTCAAAACAAGGAGTAGCAAACGAGTTTCCAGCATTCCTTTTTGGAGGTGTGGCTAAAACTCTAGACTATGCCGTACACGAACACATGTCGTGGGTGTCTCGTCTAGGAGAGGACCTCGTGGCCTTCAACATGGGAGACGAAAAGGAAGGGGGGAAATGGAAAGAGAGCGCCAAGGACTCGGAGGTGTGGTACAACAAGGTCGAGGACGGGGCGGCATGGTTCATGAGGAAATGGCACAGGCAGGAGGCGGAAGCGTTCGCGAAGCGCCAGCGCGGGAGGGAAGCAGAAGCAGAGGGTACGACCATCTCAGGACCGAAGAGAAAGAGAACCGGCGAAGCGGCGGTGGCGGGGAAGAAACGGCGACCGGGCACTGCTGTAGAAGCGAGTAGGGCGGCCGAGGCAGCGCTTGTGGCGAACTATGTACCCGGCTGATGTTGTTG